TAAACTACCCGGAGTGCAAAAACAATGAAGGATCTGCCCCCCAGCGATGTCCATGTCGTATCAAATTCCTGCGGTATGTTCAACCATCACACCCCCCATATGCGTGAAGCTTGCTGGAATCCTAGAGTTGAATCCAAAGCCGTGCTGAGCTGCTCCCGTGAAGGCTGCACGGGTCGTTGCGTGGTAGGACGAAGTGCCCAGGGAAAAGCCTCGAAATTGCTGGAATACGAAACGTGGGCAATCTAATGCCGATGGCAGATGATGGTAGGCTGGGGGTCACTCTGAATCCGACGCACAACATGCAGCCACCACAATCGACAAAACCCTCGGTCACTCTGCAGACCTCCTCAGCCCACCACATGTCCGCACACCCCAACAGCATACACCGTCAAAGAGACACTGGGCCAGGGTGCGTCACAGTAAATGTCAGCGGGCCCCTTGCTGAGTCGAACCAGAACCTCATCCATCTCGTGCTTTGGGGTGGGGTTTTGCTTAAGTTGTTAGTAAGCAAGTTGTTCGTTTCCTTACACATCACCTGACGACTTCCTGGGCATTCCTGGGCAATGCCCCTTTGAGGCCTACAACACCCAGTTGCCACAAACTCGGTTTTTGGAGTCCCAGACACATCAGCAGTGTAGTAGACGGTGGTGATACTCAGAATTGTGCTGATCGGAAAAGGGACGAGCAGGTCCTGACGCAATTGTTCATTCCTAACTGCTAGACTGACTACATCGCATTTATTGGCACTTGCACTCTAGAAGCATGAAACTTGAAGACTTCGAAGCTCACGCTTGACTCGCTTGATTCTTTGCAATCTGCCTGGCCATGCCACCAACTCTTGGTATCCCCTGAATGTCAACAACTCGGCACTGCATTATGTGCTCCTGCCCTCCCTCGTCATTCTGGAAGTCATTGTACTCCCCAGTGCACCAGACATCATAGGATGTGTTCCTGCGCAGCAGTCGCAAATTATCCAGCAATCAAGCCTCCATGTGCCACCTAACCCAGGGGTTTCAGAATGTAAAAATACCCTTCCCATGCATGGATGCAAGGGGTCTTCATGGCACTCTGATGAGTTTGAAGCTTGCGGATGCAGCACGCTGTGGCAGGTTGCACAGCTCAGCTGTCCGAGAAACTGGACTTGCAATTGCAGGAATTCCTACTGGAAGATATGACCCCAAGTGTACACACACACACATATATATATATATATATCTGTGTGTGTGTATATGCACACTTAATCCGGTCCATCATCCTTGCAAAGCTGTATCCTAGCTTGTTTCTATGTCGCAGCTTGTTGTGGGTTCTGTGCCTCGGGACGCTGGCGCTGGCCTAGGTCCTTGCTTGCCCCTCTCCATAGCATATGCATTTTTCTGCTTCTACATGATAGGTAAAGCCAAATAAGTTAGCACATGGTCCCCTCAAGTTCCGGCTGATTTCACATGGTCCGAGCTGTAGCGGACCTTTGAAAGCTACTTGTATGGCCCTGCTCGGGGACGCCATAACTGCATCACGATTTCTGGTCCAGAAAGGGCGAGTAAGCTTATAACCCCAATGTACTATGGTAGTTTCCATTTTCTTTTCCATTATCCCTATACAACCCCAATATTCTACAGTAGTTCCCCCAGTGCCTGTCCAGCTCGGGGAACGCGACAGCTGACACTTCCTGGATGGTGATCACCTGCGCGGCTTGGAATGGTATAGGGATGCACCGGAAACAGGAAAAACTGAAGGAATGGGTTTAGGGTTCAGGGTTTAAGGTTTAGGGTTTAGGGTTTAAGGTTTAGGGTTTAGGGTTTAGGGCTCTTACATACTGTGGCGGTAGCTGCTTTGGGGATTCATGCTGTGAAATCTGGCAGTGCTCAAAGCAATCTCTCAAACAGGCTTGCCAATCTACGAGGCGGCTTAGGGAAATCGGGACACTCTTAACATATGGGCCATAGTCTAACCCTATAGTAGTCCCGATATGTAAACTCCCTTTAAAGAGTTTAGACTACAGCTCATACGGGCCCATATGCCTCTACTGCAGCTCTTGTGGCTGCTGAGAGCAAGGCGCCTTCTGTTTGGGCGCAATGTCCTGCAGCGTAGCGCCATCTGGCACACCAAGCTGCCGCATGTTCAAAGAAGGGAAAGACTCCTGCCGCGACGGGTGCAGCGCATTGAAAAAAAAACTGTAGACGGCTAAGCTGCTAGACCTTTTTTGCAAAGCAAAGCAGAAATTAGTTTACCTGAGCCAAGCTGCGCACCAGAGATAGCCAACATTGGTCATCTGAGTGGTTACCTTGGGTCGCAGCATGGCGCAGCCAAGGGTCCGGGAAGTACCGAGATCTTGGGATGTTAAAGTCAAGGTGCTGTGATCTCATCACCCAGGAGTAGGGATTCGCGAGTGATTCTCATGGAGCTGATGGTGACCTCTGTGGACTCTGTAGAGATCTCCCGCCTGGTCAAGTCCACCTGGCTTTGAGTGCTTTCCGCCCCAGAGTCCGACTCCGCCATGCAGGCCACGATGTGTGGCATGCCCGGCTGCAAGTCAGCGATGGTGATTGCAATGGTGTTGGATGTGGATGTGAGGATGCCGAAGTAATTCCCATTGCGAATCGCGGCTGGTGAGACCGTTGGCGAGAAACTCGAGTTCTGCACGAAAGCGTGGCAGAACAGGCGGCCAGTCGCACTTGCACCAGCCACCACCCCAATGGTCTCAGTGCCAGCCCAGCCCCCTCTAATATAGATGCTGGGTGGTGCCGTGTTGCCGCAGTCAAAGCAGCCCTCAGACCGCTCTGAGAAGACCTGGGAGGCGATTTTCGCCCACGTGGAATGGTTGCCTGTGATGGGGTCCTCCACAGAGCAGTATACATTGTAGACGGTGGCCGGGAACAGCAAGCCACTGACTGTGACAGTATGCGGCGGCCTGGTTAGCACCTTGAACTTCTGAATGAAGCTTGCAAGCATGGAAGGGTCAAGCCTCTCGCTGGTGTTGTAGGTTCCATTGATCAGTTTGCAGTTGGTGCCTGTCTGAGGGTGAGTGCCAAAGGCATAATATTCCAAGGCAACACACTCCTCGTAGCGAAGGCATTGAGCTTCACACGCCTCCTCATCCTCAACATCCACCCGATACAGAACGGTTGCGTTGAGCTCTCGGGACGTAAACTCGGCCCCGTCAATCAGCTGAAAGATATACAGTTCACCCTGTAAATTCTGCAGACCGGAGCCCCACCGCTTGAGCTCGTTGTGGGTTGGTGTGCGCAGCTGATACCGCGCATCGATGATGCCGCAGTACGCATTTGCAGTTCGGTCAACTGTGACGGTCATCTTCGTCACGGATGTTGACAGCTGCACGGCTGACACATTCAAAGTCCTTGGCACAGGGTGAAACATGGAACCAAGTGTTGTTCGGCATTACCGAAGCCGTCTGACAAGCATCTCAGCTTCCATTTCCTTCCATAAAAGCCTTTCCTCACGATAGGCCATGGCTCGGTACAAGAACGTCTGCCTGAACGGTTTCTGTTGCGGGAAGGTTCGTGGGCACGGTGTCTCCTTCGCAGTGGCAAAGTCACATATCATGAAAATACCATACGAGACAGTTCGGAAGCCACATGACCATTATTACTAATGTCTTTTTCTTCCTACTTTGCTAACATTGTTCTTATTACAGAGGTTCAGCAATTCAGCGAGTCCTGGGATCCGATAGCGGCAATTGAAGTTCCGCGGGCCAGATATGTTCCTCGCAGCGACGCTTCAATCAGGGTAGTCCCGTTAAACCAGCTAAAGTTCAAGCAATGGCCCTGGAGTCTCGAACCTGTTATATAACCTAATGAAACAAGCCATCATTTCAGCAACCAAACTGTCTGCGACCATGTGATGCTCCTCTGAAGACAATCATGCGTAGCTTCTGCAGGCTCCAGTGTTGTAGCATGTTTACTGCAAAATTGCCATCAGAATCGCAACTGTAGACGTTGGATCTGCGTAGAGAACACCTACTCCTAGACAGAAGCATAACTAGTCAACCAATCAGCTGAATCATGAGCGTCTGTTGCCATCAAGGTACACGAAGGTCAATGGGTTCAGGCCAATCCACCTGGCATTGAGCCTACCCCAGATATCCCTGGGATCCCTCCAGGGGCAGCATCCTTCTTGTTGCCTGAGCACACAGATGCGCCACACATGCACAGATTCTTTCTGTCTTGCAGGACCCCTTTGGCCGGCAGCCCTCCCCAGCCCTGCAATGAATGCAGGGCCTGCACGGGGGAGGGCGGCTAATGCAATGCCAGATGGCTCAGCAGAGATGGGCCAATGACTGTCATTGAAAGCCTCGATGCTGCAACGCTGCAGAAAAATGTCCAGACTCAACTGAAAGACCATCACTTGCAGCTGCGAAGACTGAACTTGGCAAAGGCACCGGGTAGAAGAATGGAGTCCTCGCGTCATCAGTCCCTTTTTCCTCCGTGCTGCACTTGAAGGCACTCGATGTCATCCTGGGCACCACTCAACACACGGAGCATTGCCTTTGTGCTGCACCCAGTTTTGCGTGCCCGTGCGAGGCTAGCATTCCGACGACGTCGACTAAGCCCCCTTCCAGCAAGCACGAACCAAGCCTAACAGCTTGTGGGGCGCACATGTTAGTCGCTTGCTCAGCTCTTCGAACCTCAGCCTACTGTCACTCAAGAGATCCCGGACTGGCCAGGCTTCACTCCGTTCTGAGCCGCCAGGATCACCCCCGGCGGTGCCGGATATTGCGTGACGCGGCCCAGGGGATCAGTCATGTTCACCATCTGTGGCCTGGAAGTCCAGCTCTGCCAGTGACACGTAAGCACAAGCCCTTCTACATTGTGCAACCATGCTTTCTGATTCCACCGCCGCATCATCATCATCATCATCAACATCATCATCATCATCATCATCATCATCATCTGCCCCGCCTGGAGGTGAGCACACGCAGGGCCAGCAAGTCCCCTGGCTTGATTCCCAAGGGAAAGACGATGACCTTGATGGCTTGAGTATGCTTGAGTTCTTAGAGCTTTGTCGGGCCTTTTGGGGCGTTTTTCATCCTAAGCCGGATTAGCTCATTCGCGCGCAATGTGCAGGGAACCCGCCATCGGGCCTATTGGCAGGTCTTGCAAAAGAGGTGCCCCTCACATGAGCTAGAGCAACAAAAAATCCAGTGATCATTTGGCCCTGATATGCATGCTTGTGAGCCTTGACGCACGGCATCCCATAGCTGGAATCTACGAGGATACAAGGACAAATCCGCCCCATTGGTTTCAGTCTGAGTGTGAGAAAATGACCGGGGCCTCCTCATGTACTAGGACACTTGGCGGCGCATATTGTCCGACGAGACTTGATCATGCGGGCAGATGTTTCTGCACCTCTGGCCCTGGCTCTGGGATTTTTAACGACAGTCAAACGTGCCAGTCGGGCACTGCGGGCTGCCTAGGCAGAGGGCGTGTGATTCTGATGATCTTAAGATACTTCACGGCGGCACCTCCATCTAGTTTTCCCGACTACCCTTGCTGGCTTCAGTGTCTTGAGCTTGAGGTTGACCAGGGTTGCTTGAGGCGCGGGGTCGAGGTCGAGATTGAGAAAAAAGAAGAAATCAATTGTCAGTAAGAAGGAGCCACTATGTTGCCTGATGCTTGCTCCGCACTGCTTCGTCTACAATGCGTAACATTGTCACAAAGATTACTACCATGGAATGGCCGGTCACACGCGCCACCGCTATGCTAACAAACCCCGTGTTTAGCGTTGGAGCTACGACAAATTGAAGTGGTGTAAGGTTTCGGTAATTTTTCCCAGTGGCCTTTGGCATTATTTCCTCCATCAACAGTATTGCTGCTCCCAACAGTATTGCTGCTTCCTGAAACTGTCATGATGAGCTGGAGATCTTGACCCGCTCAACTCGGCCAAACGTCCTTTGCAGTGTTCTCCTCGGCAAGAACGCGTCTTACACCATTCCTCGGCAGCAGCCACGAGGCGCGCTATTTGGAACAGCTCATCTAGCAAAAACACGCTGCAGCAGTGACTAGTTGCTGTGGTAGTGCTGGCAGTGAAAGTGGGGCATGTCGGAACAGGAACAGCAGCTACAGCAGCAGCAGCAGCAGCGGTAGTAACACCGCTAGTACCTGCAACTGCTTCTTCAGCATGCCATTACAACTGCTGCATACTTCCACGACGTCGACGACGTCGATAATCGCGGTCGTAATAGTCGCAGGACCAGTGGCAGTGGCAGCAGCAGTAGCAGTAATTCGTAGCAACAGCAATAGCAGTCACCGCAGTAGACGTCACCAAGCACGGCTACTACGGCCACGACGACCCACTGTGCTGTTGAGTACTGCTACGTACTACTAGATACCGCGGCTGTCTCCTGCGGCTGCTACATTATTGTGAGGCTTGTGCATGCGAAGGCCCTCATCATGAACTCTTCAGGTTCCTCACTCGCGCAAATTCTCACACCACCCACGCAATGTATCAGCTCAGCAGCAGTGGGATCAGAGTTGCAGAGATGTCCGGGAGGACATAATTCCTTGGCTGCTTTGGAACTTCCCTCATATCCAGATAACTGCTACTCACACGCACAAACGACAGCAGGTGCATGCCAGCGGCCCATTCAGGAACACATCTACATAGTCGTCGGCGTCAACCACCATCCATGTGGAGGCAGGGCGCACAATCCGCCACCTTATTTAGCTCAGCCATGACCATGTGAGAGGTTGTCTAAACTCCGTGAAGGGGGGTTATACAGGGGGGTTATAAAGGGAGTTATATAGGGAACTACTATAGGGGTTATCACGGGGGATACTAGGAGTTTAGACAATGGCTCATGTGGAGTAACAGCAATGGACCACCGAGTCCTGGCCCTTTGCCTGCTTGACGCAACCTGTACATCTGCTGTCTGTGTCGAGCTGCGTAAGGACATAGACCAGCAGCCAAAGTGTTCCCGCAACCTTTGCGAGATGCCACTTGAGGTGTGCATACCTGGCATGCCTTCTGACTTTTGCATCTTTAACCTGAGACAGCAAAGTAGTGTCCCGTGTTGATCGTGTCTGTTGTGTTTGCTACGACGGACAGTACGGCAAGCAGCGCGAGACCCCTTTCAAGACGATTGCCATCATCAGTCCCAGCAGCCATCACTCAGTCAAGTGGTCCCAAAGTCTAACAGCCGCAGTAAGAGCCTTGGACTCCACGTCGGAAACCTCGGCTCCAAGCAGCAAAGGACTGTTCTCATTCAATCTAATAGCACTTGGCATGCTCTTAGCGCCCTTGAGAATGCCGAGGACTGAATTGAGGTGAGCGGCACCAATCAGTCCATTGAGGACGAGGTGTGGAGACCACTGAGACCACAGAGACTTCGTCAGGTTGAAAACCACGCTTCTGGCTCTGGTCAGGGGAGGGAACTTCAGAGTCCTCAGAGTTAACCCCCGATTGAAGAGTTGCCGTGGAAGAGAGCAAACTGCTGGCTCTTGCCTACATTACATGTACTAAGCTTGCATATGCTTGTGGGATGTCTTCGCAATACGACCCCTGCTCGTGTCGAGAGTCCCAACATGTCCCCTCCCCACATGTTGCATCCTGGGTCAAAGGAACCACCTATCGTGGCCAGCTCCTTAGGAGCTTGGGCACAGTGGCTGCGCGGAAACTAAACAATTTCGTCGGTGGTGGCTTCGGCTTGGAATCAAAACTTGCGATCTTGCGGCATTTGGGACTTGGCCTGCCTGCATGGAGCTGCGTGCACATGTGACACCAGTGGCGCAAGCCCTCAATGTCTGCCAGCCTGATAGGACTGCCGAGCTACCCGAGCCACAGCACATCCTCTGCAGGTTTTTGAACATAGTGCTGAAAGCATAACAGTTTATCAGCAGCTAGCGTATCAGTAGTCGTCGGCGGCATCGTCGTTGTTGTCGTAGTCTCGAAGTAGAAGCAGCAGAAGTAGTACTACTTGCAGAAGTAGCAGTGACACAGGTCTTGCAGTAGTAGCAGTAGTTGTAGTAGTACTAGCAAGTACCTGGCTGGGAGAAACCAAGAAGCAGATAAGAAACAGAAACAGCATGGGGTATGATGAGTTTTCCCCATTGAGCACCTGCAACCATAATGATGACGGGACGATGGCACAAGCATGGTAACAGGAATGGTGAATAGAGCAACAGCAGTAAAACAAACATAAAAGCATGATGACGAGAGGAATACAGCATTATTAATGCTCAAGCCACCTGTCAGCACGAAGGTCCAATAATGTTCAACCACAGAAAGCCGTTCTTATCCCAACTCGCGCCCACTACTAAACTCTACTCAAGTGCTAAGGCTCCAGAGCAATTGTTGCTGCAAAACCAAAAGCGTGAACTTCTGCAGCACCATACGAAGCCTCCGTATGAGCTGAATAGAGCATTCGACAAAATCGTGTGAACCCTCGTTTTTTGGACAGGGCCGCCCTGTCCAAAAACGATGGGTCGCAAGATTTTACCAGTTTTCAAGATCCCCGCACCTGCCAACACTTTCAGCGTATGAATCACGCGTCACGCTACGGGTTTTTTCTTCATCGTCGTCGTCGCAATCGTCGTCGTAGTAGTAGTAGTAGTAGCAGCAGCAGCAGCAGCCGCGGCGGCAGCAGTAGTCGTTGTAAGACGCATTCCTACCAACCAGGCTCTACGGCTTGCACATGTTGAAACCCTGCAAAGACCTGTAAAAATTCTCACTTCCATGGAACTTTGCTGTCCCATGGGGTGGGGGGCTGGGCATGGTATTCGAAGTATGCGCATGCAAAAAACGGTTGGCCGTCATCGGAATCGTCACGTTATTGACTGCGTCACGTTCTGCCACAACCCCTTATCTGCTTAGGTTGTCAGACCGCCCAGCGCGACACTAAAGAAAACATGATTGCTGGGGGACGGGGGAGGGCGGCTACCAAAAGAAGCAGCACCAGTAGTAGGAGCAGCTGCTGCAGTGCTTGAAGCGGTGATAGCAGCAGCAATCGAAGAAGTTGTTGCCACTGGCGCAAAACCTTGTGATGCCAGCAAAGACCAGACTGCGGCAGCAGAAGTTTTCTGAACACAACTAGAACCAACAATGCGCCTAATGGCAAGGCTACTAAAGGTGTCCACACAGTAGTGAGCGAATGGACTGTAAACTTAAACCACAACCCAAAAAGCCCAAAACCTGGACACCATAAGGCCAAAAACCTCAAACCCCGAGCACTAAACCCAAAACTCCCTGAAGCCCGAAGCACTAAACCCAAAGCTCCCTAAGAGCCTACAGCACAAATAGGAGCAATGCTAGTCTCCCCACGATGTCAGCTCTGGTTCCTCGAGGGCCACCAGGAAGCCTCCCGGTTCTGGCTCTGAGAGGCCGTGATGGCCTTCTCAACGACCCAGCCCTGGCCAGGGACATGCGGTGGTTTCCGAAAATCAGGGGCGGATTTTAGGTAGTCATCATTAAAAATTAAAAAGGTTTTATGGCTTTTTGGTGTCGATTTCAGGTTGAAGCCTGGTGTAACTAGGACTGCTAAGAAGCTCGATGATCTCGCATGGATTGCCTCGGAAAAATGCCCGCTTCGAATCTTTGAAAAATTGATTCTGCTGTTCCATGCCCAAATCCTGCAGGTCTCCATGCAAAGCGGCGCATGGGCGCGACCAAACCCATCGCCATTGCAAAGTCTCTGCGGGTGCAGAACAAGAAAATGATTGTACGAATGAACTACCTAAACAGATGGTCCTGCCAATGTCCAAATCGGATTGGTGGGCCCTTGGGAAGCCTAAGGATATATGGGGATTACACTGGGATCACAGGAGTCCCTGCGGAAGATTATATAGGGAATGCTTCTGCGCAACCCTTCGGCACGCAAGCCGCAGCAGGCATTTGCAGAATCCCGGGTGGAACCCCATCACTGAGACCTTGGATCAACATCGGATTATTATTCCTGACCCAGCTGCACGCTGATTCACTTTTCCTTCTCTATCCAATCTGTTTGGAAAACTTGGAATGCCTTTCCCCTGGACAAGAGTCAGAATCATAAAGTGAAACAATCTATTTGTAAAAACTGGTCCCTGCACAATTCCCACCCAGACCCTACAAATCCGAAATCCCCCGATATGGAACCCTTGCAAACTGCCTTCAGCTTGAGATCTGGTGGTTTCAACATTGTAGGCAGGGCGACGTCCATCATGCTGCCCTCGTAGTCCCTGCAAGGGGTACTGACAAGGACCATCTAGGATCATCCGAAAACGGTCAGAGCGAAGGAGATCTCATCTTTGCAATGAGCTATGATCACAACAGTGCGTGGGGCTCTCAGGCCCTGCAAAAATCCTGGTTGCAACAGTCCCGCATAAAGCGTTGAGCTTCGAGCTACCAGCTACCAATTTGCCAAACAGGGGCAACAGGGAAAATCAACTTGGCACACGCGCCTGAAAGGGAGGCGGCCCTCTGTGCCGGAGCCAAAGCAGAGAATATCGCCTTTCTGCATGAGCACCACCTGGCAAGGGCAGCTTCCGCGAGCAAGCATCGCTGACTCGGAAGTCGGAGAAGCAAGCGTCTTGACAAAGCAGGAAAAATCTCGGCTCTAGTTTGACGCCTCATGCTTGAGACAGCTCTTGCACATGCCATTACCTCCGCCCTCCGATGCCGGGATCATATCATGCTCTACGGTGTCAGCCAGAATAAACTTGGCTTTGGGTGCGCTTGCACCATGAGCGGAGCTGAGGTGCTGGCAGTGTGCAGAGGTCCAGCTGCGATCTGATAGACCTCAAACATGGACACAAACCTGCCGTTTAAATTTGCTCAAGCTTCTTACTTGACGGTGCTTTTGGAGAAACCATTTTGTGGATGCTCAGCATGCTGCGGGATCCCGCGACTCCAGCTTCACCTGGAGGCGCAGGTTGCAGCAAGGGGGAATGCATGTGATAATGAGGCTATATGGCGGTTCTAGAAGCATAATGGATAGAAATTGGAAACTGCTATTCGGGATTTAGGGTTTAGCCTGGGCACGATGCAATTATTCCACTCGCATGATGCGAGATTCACTTGATCGGAAAATTGGTCAGCATGTGTCAGGGGTTGCAAGCTCAGAGCCCAAGGCCTGCCGTGGAGTGGGGATCACCTCCCCAACATCAAAGCCAGTTGCTGCGCCCTTCCCCCAGGTGTAAAGTTGCCCCTTCACGGACCTGGGCAGCCATGGAAGCTGACTTGGCTGAAGGAGATATGAGCTACAGCCAACGTTTGCTACAGAATTTACTGGACATGTGTTTTTCCAAAGGATTGAGGACTGTACTAACTACGAGAGGGACCCTTCGGCAGTGTGACAGTAGCTCATATTGGCCACAAGGAGCCAACAAAGCAGCAGTGACAAAGACGGGTTCACAGAATTGCTTCCAGCTGAGGCCCCCGCATTGTGACGGAATGCATTAGTCCGAGCGCAACCTGCCACCATCTGGGCAAGAATCCACACTGATAAACAAATCTCAAGCCTTCACTTCACTGCGCCTGCGACATGGATAGGCCGGACAAGCTCTCGACACCTCTGGCGGAGCATGGGAAGCCGAGAAAGTTGCTGCAAGTTTCAAGTCAAAAAAAGTGGCACGTTTGCAGTCGCCCTCAGACTTTCAAGAGAAGAAGCCAGGCCCCCTCACGCGCTGGGCTTGGCATGTCTGTACCGACTCCATGGCCACAGCGCCTCATCTTCTGATCCAGGCATGCAACAAAACAGCCATTCCACAAGCTCAAGCCTCATCCCTAATCTCCAAACCCAGGCAGCCATGATGATGATTATGATGATGATGATGATGATCATGACGACGACGCGGATTTATTCACAAGTTGAACTGAGTCTGCGATTTGGCTCAGGGAACATGACTGGTTCGCCGTTGCTTCGGGTAATGATGACCACGGGAAATAAACCGACATCTGCACCAGACCCGAATAGGCAATACTACAACTTTGGGCCGGAAAAGCTCAGCTGCCTAGATGTCGTTAAAGCCAGCAGGGCACCCAATGCAACCTCCCCAATTTTGAGGCTTCTGTGGTCCTCATCTGCAGCCCAAGAAGCCCAAAAGCTCCCTGACCCCATGTGTAGAGTCCGCCAAGCTGATCCACAGCAGCTGTGTGCGCCTGCGGCTCTCAAGAATCCTTGAGATTTGCAGATTTCAGCAACAAAAATTGAAGTACCACAAGCACTTTTAGAAGAGGATCCTGGTTCTGAAGCATATCCATGTGGTTTTTCGCTCCGAAGGCGCGAGGCCTCGATATGCTGCTGACACTTCCTTCCTGCTTCTCGGCCAGATATTCAAGCAAAGGGACTAAGCTGGGCCTAGCCACACCCAGCAAACCCTTCAGTTTCCTGCGTCTAGCTGAGCTGCAGTTTCTAATTTATGCGCCCACAAAGCCATCAACACTACGACCTCTCAAGCCTTCCATCTTCCTTTCCTATGGTTGAGTGCAAGACACTCTGGATCGTTTGCTCAGCTGCCTAAGGCTTTTGAACATCAATATTCTTGGCCCAATCCAGGAAGGGTGCTCGAGCCGCTGACTATCATGCAGTAGGTTGTGGACACCCTTTCAGCGCCTCACCAGCCGCAACATACGTGACGTGCACACCTTGTAGGCTTGTGACCAGCCTGGCAAGGCCGAAGAGAAACAACAAATCTCCCAGCTTTTGACTCAGCAAGCGAAAGCATCTTTCCCTCGCGGCCAGGTTCGGCTTCTTGCAGTCTTTGCATGAGGGTAGTTCGCTAGGTGGTACCCCTCCCAGTCTGCAAGCTGTCCCTGCTTGACCGGTGAAGCAAATGAGGGATTGCTCGGATGCAGCGGGGCTCTGCGCGTGGGCAAGCCCTCGCGTCCCACACAGGGACGCTTCTAAGCGTCTTAGCGCGCAGATTCCATTCACGTCAGTACTATACATATTGTACACATGCTCAGTATCCCTTTTTGCCTAGGCAAAGGGATCTTCGAAGTGCTGATCCAGCAGCTCCGGCTTCACACTTGGTCTAGGTCGTTCTGTGGGAACAGGTTTCGGTCGCTCCTGAAGCACCCGGCCCAAGTGCCTGGAATGGTTGAGAGCAAGATAGTCACATCATGATTAGAAAGTGAAGGCTGGGACAGCAGCAAACAGCATCACCTGTTTGTTGTATGTCTAACCCTGTGCTTGGCCTTGTGAAAGACGATCTCACGCAGCTTCAAAAATTGCAAAAATCACCATCAAAGCACACTTTTACTGAACTCCCTGGGCTGAAGCTGGAAGGAACAGTGCACCTCAAGAGCCCCCAGCTGAAGCCTATATTTCCAGGCCTCAATTGACTTGAGCCTTACACCATGACCCCCAAAGTTATTTGTGGAGCTACTACAAAGCAATGCATTCTCCCTGCGAAGCTCAGCGAAAACTGCGGGCCAAATGGCGAGATCTCGCTCAGCGTCTCCGCTTCCTCTGCCTCACGCTTCCGCTTCAACGAAGCAGTGCCCTGAGGATGCACGAGAAGAGCAGTTCTGCGTCTCCAATTGGAACATTCAGAAGCAAGAACGCAAAACTCAGTGAGCTTCACAGGACATGCTGAGTGAGAAGCGGAGCATCAGCTGTACACAGCCAATCTCTTAGGCTGGTGTGTCACTGCCCCTGAAAACTTGAGACTTCAATCTTTTGCAATGCTAAGTCAGACTAGTCAGACAGTTTCTGAATGAATGATTTCTAAACCCTGCATGTGCAGAAAGCTGCATGACTCCCAGGCTCCTACACCCTGCCACACCTGAAAAGCTGCACAGCTCAATGCAAGGTTCTTCCCTTTGCCTAAGATATCTGTGGATCCACGTCAGTCCCTGGGAGTGACAGGCCTTGAGTTTCAGCGATATCTGCCATGTGCGAACTAGTTTCTCCACCTGTCATGCCAGAGAACGCTGCATCCAGAATGACAGTCATAGTTCATGGTGCCACAAATTCTCATGCAAATCACTATCACCAAGCTGGACACACAGCAGGAGCCACTTCACAATCGCCTAGGTCTATGTGTATCCCTGTAAAATCATGTGATATAAACCAAATTGCCATCTCATTTACATACCATGCTCTTTCCCATTTGGTTGGCCATCATAATGCATTACATGTACGGTCCGGTACTGCACCTCCTCTCGCAGCTCCGGAAGCTGCTCAGCGCGGGAGGCGGCCAGCGTCAGGAGGTTCAAAGACAGGACATCCGAGCGCCGCAAGGGAAGAAGCCTTAGAATTCCCATAATAGGTCTCCAGGCGGCAGTTCTCATAGGAGAGAGCCGCCTGATTTCCCAGCTGACTGTAGGAAGACTTGTAGCCGGCTATCATCAAGCTTGTACAAACAAGCATTTGAACCCCAAGTACTCAGGGCATGTACAAAGTACGATGAGGGCTTGAAACGGAGACAGACTTCAGCAGCTTGCAGGACTTGGTAGGCTTGACCTTCGTTTCCGCAGCCCCCCCGGCTTTGTCCCAAGTACCCTTTTGCTGAAACAGTGTGGGGACATTGCGTGCAGCAGGGAGTAGCTGCCATAGGCGGGTGTAGGATATGTCGGTAGCTTGCCTGCGAAGCGGTGGCCTCCTTAAGAATTCCGTGCTTGCTGACCTAAGCAGGTCAAGCCAAGTTTCCGCAGGACCACCAAACAGGCACGGATGCAGCGGACATCCTTGATTCTGCAAGGAATCTGCAAAGAGTCTCGGAAGTCCAGTTTGAGAGAAACCCCATGCTTCGAGAGTAAACTACCGCATTGGATCTGGCCTGTGAGTTAAGCTTGATTGTACATGCGCATCATTCTTCACGAGCAGAGCCAGGCAGTCCTCCGCAGGCCCTGCAAGCCAGTCGCGGATGATCGTCACACCACCCAGCTCCTCAGCTGTTCTCTGAATTCGCAGCCACTTGTTATGTTGCTGGTGCTGTCTTGGGCTGGTTGCCGCTGAGACGCAACAAATCTTGCAAGGCGGCCAGAGATCCCTGTGTCCAGTGACAGCGCCTGGGGAGGTGCTTTCTGCTCGGCTATCAGCTCTCATAATTCCCAACACTTTGGAGCCTTTGGACTGTGCCATGTAGCTCACCACGCAGAAAATCATCGTTTATAGCAGTCATGAACTGCACAGCATCGGCCGGCACAATCATGATGAGATTGCTCCTTGCCCTCCTAGGGAATATGGCACGGCTTTGCTTAGATCATGTAGGGATATTACATGCACGAAAAAGACAAATCTGTGTCAACTTCTACCCCTTGAGTCCCTTGGTTTGTGGGTGGTGTTAGGGTCTTTCCTCTGGGGGTTTAGGTCCTTCGTGCTGAGAGGAGACTCGCTCAAGAAAGTCCTTTCTAAGGTGGCGGAAAAGTGCCAGCAGGGTGGCGGGGGGGGAGCATCCAAGGATTGACTATTCGCGCAGTCGACCTCCAGGGCACTCCCTTGCATCTTCTTTGTGGCACTTATATAACGTCGACTACCCCACGACTTCTACCAGGAAACATCCGCAGGAACAGTTTGCCAGCTTTTAAACCAGGATCCACGCTTGTATCCCCACATGCTCTGTGTCATTTTCTACAAACGACCCAAATCGCTGCCAGAACATTGCGTGCGGCCAGCAACACTCATGATTGTGCCATGACATGCCTACCTGCAAGCTTCTTCGCAAGGTTCAAGAAGCTTTTCTCTGGAAACCTGCAATTTCTTGAAGAAACCCTCAGATAAATTCACTGGCAGCCGATGCAGCTGCAGGCGCGGTGTTCTCCATGGCTTTAAGGATCACAAGGCGCTCGTCCGAGCGTGAGGCCCTCGCGGCCGCCTCCAGAAGCACCTCTCCAGCAAGGGCTGCTGTCAAGGTTTGGGGCTAGGGTCTTGGCATTGTGATGGTGAGCCTTCTCAAGTAAAACCAGAAGCAAACAATCACAGACACCGGCAAAGTGCTCGGCAGTTACTCCAAACTGTAGAGGCAGAAATGCAGAAACCTCAGCAAGTAATGTATGTGAGCGCACAAAACGCGCAAGGCCTCATCCCCTCCCCAAAGAACAGTCACGCAAAGGAGAGCACCGCAAGGCCAGCCGTTGAGCATGCCGAGCACACAACTACAATAGCAGCACAAAAGTGCAGCAACCGAGAATTGAGGCTGAACTCGTCATAGCGAACTTGTTTGCAGTTCCTTGAGCGAGCCGCATGATTTTCAGGTTATCAGACCGGTCCTGAAGAAGCTGTCAATACTCCCGTAAAAACTGATGCCATTTGTTAGCACCTCACTGCCACAGAGCATGCTAAGGCATCATAAGGCGCAATAAATTGCCAACAGCCCATCTTGCCGTGGCATTCACAAGACACCCTGATATCATGACACTTCAACCCCACCAAACGCACAGCCAATACATCGTCTACAGCAGAAGGCTTCTTGTTCGGAAACACATGCTAGCGGCTATATGAACTCAGGAGCTCAGGGCTTTCTTCACCAGGTTGCGCCTCGGCAAGTTCATCCTCATCATGGAGAGATTTAATTTCCCGTCTTTGTTCCCTTCCCACTTCCTGTGCATCCCCCAAAATCCGGACCAAAAGATCATTCCTACAACAGGGAAGCAGCGCAGGCACTGGCATGGCGCCACCCCGCACGAGGCCACCTTCCAAGAAGGTGGCTGTCGGGTCCTTTCAGGGTTTGGGCAAAGAAATCGGAATTGATCAGGGCCCAACCAAGGAACCTATAATAAGCAATACTAAGATTAATAACAATATGGAGAATAACAGTACTACCTACTACTGCTAGCAATACTACAAGAATACTGGTACTAATACTCATAATAACAAAAATGTGCAAAACTGGAAGGCATCAAAACAAGTATGTGTACGAGCGCTAGAAGTACCACCAGACTGACCAACCCCCATAAAATTGTTTAGGGGTGCTGTCTGTGCAAGGTCAACTTAAAATGCTTGGGGAGGGGGCCACACGGTAAAGCGCGTCCCATACTAACAGCGAGAAGAGGATGACAAGCGTAGGCAACCTGATGAGTTCTAGGTGCTCAGAGCACCGTTTGCTGCAAGGAGGGTGATCATCACAAATCAAATCTTAACAGCCATGACAAGCGGCATGGTTGCAATCAATATGGGACGAACGCTCCTTCGTCCATTGTCATTGTACGCTCTGGCAACATCGGGGTCGTCGTAAGTCCCTGCGTTCTTGAAATATAGTGTACCCATCAAATTCTTCGAGATGCAGGGAACATTCCAAGCAATCCATTCTGGCCCGGCCGTCTATCCAGGAACCCAAAGAGACCCCTCTTGCAGTAAACGCTCCGGCAAGGGTTTGGTAGCAATGATACCCAATGCCCCTATATACCCCTATCATGATACTGGGGCTATCTGGGGCCATAAACTACAAAACCCTACACTCTGTTGCCCGCGACTCCTGAAGAGGGCTTGACGAACCTCCCTGGGTGGCATTGGGAGCTGCCTTGCGGGCCCCCCTTTGTTTTGGGGCCTGGTTTGGGGGTTATCGTATGAGGAATGAAGGCAGCATCAGGGTTCAAAGAGGGAGCTTGCAAATCCAGCATTCTAGCGGTCTCGAGCGGTCTGAACAGCCCCAGAGATTCTTGAACACCACCAGACGAGATGAGGAGCGGAATGTGCGTCCTACTTTCAGCTTGCTTAGTTGTCTACAGTCTTTGCTGATGCTTGAGGGCCTCCAATTTAGAGTAGACCCCAGAATGGAACGCAATGCCCTCTTTCGACTACATACATGCTTCAGGTTCTCTGCACCGAAAAGCATTCAAACTGCAGCATCTCCTGTCTAGAATCTAGACCCCTACAAGGATTCTCCGGGCAAACGGAACCAAGTTTGAGATTGAGACTGTAATCCCCCTGGACGGAGAGTTATAACATGATGTTGAATAAGTCCTAGGGGTTATTATAATGAACATTGAAAAATAATCTTGAGGAAAGGAGGGGATGAGCTACGCTTCCACCAACGACATCGCCTGGCTTTCGTCTTGCACAGCAGTTCTGGACCTGAGTGTTCATATGAATAATGGGAATAGTACCAGCAATAATCATAACTAATCAGCAACAATGACAACCAAAACAAAACGAATAATGGTACTAATACTAGCAGTAATACTCTTTCTTTCTTTCTTTCATGCAGGCTGTGGGATGACCCTGTAGGATCACCCCGGGCTCCTGCCCATCCCTTGTTGGGCTTCGTGGTCTGAAACTACACCCCTCCAGAACCACATTATGGCTGGTTGTGGGATGGACTTCAGGGTTGGCTTACGTTGGGTAGGTAGTGCATTGCCATAATGTGATGACGTGATATCCACTAGTGAAACTAGGTGGCCAAGCTCTACATGATGTTACTCCCAGAAAGTACCTAACGGTAGTTGGACTAGTGCGAGATTGGCCCCTTGGTTGTTAGTGAGACTTGCCAGGACGCTGCCCAGGGGTAACTGCTCATAGCAACCGCGTGAGTATTTTGGGCTGCTGTCCCCGTCACCTCCTCACTTTTTTCTTTCTTTTTTTCGAGGATTTTCTACTCACTCTCTCGCTCTCTCTCACGGCCACTGGGTCAATGCTGTACATACTATAATGATAATAACCGTAAGACTACATGTAATAAGAGCAAAAATAATGTATTTATACTGAAAATAGAAGCAGTCATCGTAATAATGGCAGATAATAACAATTCTGGAAATTCTTGGCGAATCGTACCACTCTCACGGGACAAGAACTGCAGGTCTGTGTGGCATATGATATGCACTGGACAGTATTTCGGAGATCATTTTGGACAAGTAGCTCTACAGCTGCACAAATTCCACGCAGAGAGAGTCCACAGACTTGTTTTGAGCATGCGAATCTTATGCTCCTCGCACAGTTCAGCGCGTTATAGCAGTTCCTTCAGGATCCAAGGGTCGTTGCTTCTTGGGGCCTGGTCATCTAGAAATGTATGCACCCTACAGCTTTAAGACTTTAAGCAGGTGCGTCCCGACGCGTAAGATGCTCTGAGCCCAGCGCTTGTCTTCCACCGGCTCAAGGCCTGGAGAGGGCAGATGCTGCAAATGCGCAATCACCTCCCCAAAGGGGCTTATTTTTGGGGATCACAAATATTTTTACACGTCTATAATGGAAAAGAAAATGGAAACTACGAGTTAAGCCAAGCTCATCTGTTCTAAGCCCTATAGCTCAATTGCTCCTTGACATCTGGGCTTATGCGCCTTGCAGATCCTACGTACTTCTAGCCCGCGGGACTACTAGTTCCACACACGGAGCAGAAAATCGCAAGGACCCCTGAAAGAGCAACACTGTAGTGTTGTAGCTGATTGTAATGACAAGCAAGGACAAGCAAGGAATACATGCGGGTAAACATCTGCCTCAATGGATGGAGCCCAGGGTTGCATGCAAAGGAAAGGCGACCCCACCCCCGCCCTTTTTTAGAGAAATCGCTTAAAGTTTTTGCAGCCGGATTCAATCCCCGGCAAAATCTCCTGGTGGCTGCCACGGCCTGCTTCCTGGTGGACACCTTCGGCCTCCATCAGGCCCTATCCTTCCGGTTGACCCCTTGCCCCCTGGCGGACTCCCTCGACCCCCCTTCACGCAACCACCCAAACGCCGACACTTTCTTGCAGCCACATTCAAAAATCATGCGGTGGGCAACAAGGCACTTGCTGTATGATGCAATCCCCTCCCTTCCCTCCTCTAGCCTGAGTTGTGACGGTTGGCCCCACATCGCATGGTAGCGCTCTGAAGCTGTCCATGCTCACTAGCTGAAGCAACCACAAAGGAACTCTCAATAACACAAGAACTCAACAAATTTTAGACAGATGTCAAAAGCCAATGACACACCAAGGCAGACCTTTTTGCCTGAACCCTAAATCCTAAAACCATAAACACCAAGCTGGGAGCCTCCTTGGCCTGCTGCGAGGCGCAATCGTGCCTCCCGGCGGAGCCTCGCCAGAGGATGTTCACACTGGCATCGTTTAGGCTCTTCCCCGACCCACCATTAATCGTAGCTCAGGAGGAGCATGGTAGGGGGATATTGTAAAAACCCAAAGTTTGTTTTGACTGCATGAGGGTGGGGGGCCTAAGGCATCCACATGGGTAGAACCTACCCAAGTCGATGCAGGGAACTTCTTCATTAGGATTAAGAATGGGTGCATCTGCGTAAGAATGATCTAGGAAGCATGAAGGCGATTCCGAACTGAGTCTGTAGCTCGTTACATATCGAGACAATACTCAAGAACAAACAAACACCTGCAATTGCGAGAGACATGGTGAGATGGTGATGATGGTGATGATGATCTTACCATGATAAAACACTGCTGAGACACGTTACAGCACACAGCCAATGCCCGTCGAATGCCCATAACGCAAAGAACTAGATGCGTTCTGGTTGACACAGTCCATGATCCTCCCGAAAGTAGGGGCGGTTCGCTCCAGCAACCTTCACTTTTGCTATTGTAAGCGCACATACAGCAGACCAACAACACCTAGACTCACCAGAGTTTCGGGTCGCCCTGGATCGGCACCCTGGGTGCATGTAGTATTTGCTTCTCTTGTGCTTTGATACTGAAACTGCTAAAATCCAACAGTTGCTCGGTTGATCTTGCCTTATGCCTATCTTTATTCAGAGCTGTTTGGTGTGTTTGGCTTCTGCTTACTCGCCACCTACGGAAGCCTTTATTCTTCCAAGACATGATAGCAGAAACGTGCATACTGGAGGCAAGTGGAAGACAAGCACGGTGGAACATAATATTGGGTAGGTGCCAACCTGCTACTGTACTCATGTTCTTTCAGGCATGCAATGAAACATCCGCCGAAACGGACAAGAACAGAACACAGGTCTTGTTGGAACAGATATACATGAATGTTCCTGAAAAAAGTTTGCGGGGTGTTGCTTCAGGTGTCTGTGGCTTGCATGGCCAACCGGCGCCACATGTAGCAAACTTCGGATCCAACTATAGACCCTAAAGCAATACTCGCCCTTCAATCGTTCCCACAGATGGTCTTGAAACCTGAGCCATGCCTTTTTGAGGAATAGAGCTATTTGGTCTGCTCTGTGTTGGTAGATTTAACATTTGTGTCCCTGCCTGACAATCCCAAGCAAGTCTAAGGCCCGTGCAAACAAAACAACAAAAAGAACTTGAGCCACTGCTACTCCTATTACTGGACAATCCAATGCTGGGCTTTGGTCCCATTGAAGCAGGAAGGCCGCTACTGCATGCAACAAGATACCCCGGCGACTGTCTCTCGAGCACAAATTTGAACTCCATACCCTGATACAGCCTCAGGAAATGCTTGAAGAGGACCTCCTCATCAAGCTCCTGCGCGCGCTGGCGCAGACCAAACATAAGGGCGCCGTGACAACAAGTAGCGTCACGCTGTCAACGGCATGAAGGACAATAAATGCAAACAACTGCGACGGCATTGTCAATGGCATACTTTCTGCAACGGCAAAAAGACCAGGAACGCGAACAACTACAAGGCGCGGCAAAGTCCTGTTTCAAGACAATTTCACGCCCTTTGCCCGAGGAGTCTGCGCCAGACATGGCAATGTCATGAGGGCGTACGGACCATGTAGCCCTGGTGAGGGACCCCTCGACCTCTGAATGATGAGAAAGAAATTCCACAATAACGCGCCCACACATCTTTGTCTCATAATAGAAAACTTAATCTCTGCAGTACTTCCAAGAACCATCTCATCAACAGGTGTTGTAGCTCTTTGATTAATCTGACGTCTCTCTTTCAGGCTCGACTTCTCCCGGTGCTAGTGACCGTGGCAAATGAGTTTGGCATCAAAATGCCTGTGTCTGCTAGGTATGGCTGAAGTGCTATCCAACACTAGCGCTAGCGCACATGGAGCCTTCAACCGTAAAGAAATCCGCTTGTCCCTGGGTCGAGCCAGCTTCCGTTTGGGCCAAGAGAAAAGCTACAAGTGCACGAACACTTGAACGCGGAAGCTTAAGAACCAAAGCTTGCTCAGACGATGACCCTGAATGCCCGATATCCTACGTGTCTGTTGCCTGCTTTCAAGGCTGTGACACGAGGTCATACGAATCAAGGCACATACCTTTCTCACGGCGCAAGCCTCACAGCGCCCTCGTTAGCTCTGGGCAGCGCTTGGCCAAGAGCAGTAGCCGAGCTGAGCGAGTCTTTGCCGTGTCCGCTTTGACATCCGCACATCGATTGATGAAAGGGTAGTTAGGAGCTCCAGGCTGTCAATAGCCAATTTTCTTGCGGCATGTCTTGACAGCTAAGCGGACTTGGCAACCACGGAGGCCACTGAAGTGCGGAGTCTTCCAGCAGAAGCGCCTGGAAGATTCCACGGTGCTAGCCGCCAGCAAGGGCCCATTCCAGCCAGCCAGAGTGCTGGGAAGGCAGGTCCTACATTTGAGCATTGCATGCATGGTGTTTAAGTTTCAATGATCTCCGGGACACGCCTTCGGTTCTTCCTGGTGGAGGGTCCCGATTGGCCATGCACAGTCCGTGAGCGATCATGCCCCAAATTCCATACCCAGCGGACTGGGCTGAAAGTGCCGCACCTTCTCTTGAAGATTTCAAGCATCAGCGCTGCATACAAGCTTGTGAAAAGAAGGTCTTTAGTTCGAGGAGAGAATGGAAACATCCGCGAGAAGTTTGCAGCAGTCAAGTTACGCATGGTGGCATACACTGAGCTGCTGTTTGGGGATTCGGGAGGTCTGGATTCTTGTCAGCAGGAGCACCATACGAAGCTCCTGCACTCATGTGCCATGTCCCATGCCAAGGTCGATATTCGTGGGTTCCATAGAATAGAGGTTGCGTATAGGAGTTATGTAGGGGTTACTGATGTAGGGGCTCTGTGTGTAGCACCTCAGTTGAGCGTGAAACAATAAATCCTCGCATTGAACTTCGAAAGAACTCAGAAGCTCAAGCACCTGAGCTGTCGAGTGGCAAGCAAGCAGCATTATCAACATTCTCACTAACATATTACTACTATTACGGTCATTATTAGTCCGGTCTAACACATGGTAGCTGTCTCCTGCCCAACTGTTCAAGGATTCAAGGCGGGCTTGAAGGATCCTCTTAAGTCATGTTGGATCGGACATGGAGAATTCCAGTGAGCTCAGTGTCGGACTTGGGCAGGCCCTCCACAATTCCGGGGGCTCGCTGCTGCTGCGCAATTGCCTTCATCCCAGGATGAGCTTCTTCCTCATCCTCCTTTCCAGGCAAACCAAGAGCATCCTGGCCCTTTGACAGAACCAAGTGTAGGCAGGCGCCTCGTCCGGGGGCTTCTGGAGCGATGCCTGCAGAGCAGTTGGATATAACTGAAAGTGGCAGCCCAACCGCCATGCTAAAAGTGTTCCAAAGGAATGACCGGGCACGAGAGCTGCTGCGGCATCAGCGAGGTTTGACACGCAGTACATCCAATATTACTCCATGCGCTGCGCAGCTCGGCCAATGTCGGACAACCAGAGCGCCAAGCGCAATGCATTGCAATACATACAGGAGAGGAAAGCCTAACAGCAGCTATGGTAGCTCAACTAACATATCCTAAAATGTCCTCTCAGCAGCGTGAGCATAAGCATATTTAAAGAGGAATAAAGAGGAATCCTTTCAAATGAAAACGCTTGTATCTCAATGGCCTCCACTTAGGAATCCTCTCACTCACATTTTGTTTGCAGCACAAGCCACAATCCGAAGTCTGGTGAAATCAACACTGCACGTGTACTGCAGTGCTTACGGGCCCGACCTTCGGTGAATGGAAGTCATCCTCGTCAGACTCGGGCTCGATCCATGTTACAGACTGCCCGAGGAGGTAGCTGAGGCATACCTTACTGCATCCATCTGCATCCCATCAAAACACGGAATGAAATGCACGCCTAATAAGTTGTTGTCAGGTCTCGAGCTGAACTACGCTTGCTTGGAAAGCTGAAGGGATTATCATCTTGACCCCGTGCTTGATGCACAACATGCTGAGCGACTTTGGGAGAGCGCCAATCTGCTGAAGCGTCAAACTCTTCGTTGTCATCCGCCTTGTGGCTCTGGCAGGGCATTTCTGGGAAATCTACCCGTTCCACGCCCTGCGCAGACTTTGCATATCCCTGCATAACTAGTTGAGGTCTGTCTGCATTCTCCTCCAGAATGTATTAACATTCCGCACGTCTGATGGCCCAAGGTTGCTGTCAAGTCGGCGAAAGAAAAGCAGCAGAACGCAGAAGGCAGGGCAAGGGATATTTGTTCCTGTTGGAGCCCAAAGATGAATCCACATCAATCCTTGGCCTGCCCCAAGTCACCCCCCACCACAGTTCTCGAGCCTCAGGTTGGCAATCTTGTAAGTTGCCCTTGTCTGCGTAAGGCTGGTCACTGACTTGTCTTTCAGACCGCCTTCCCGCTACCAAAATGCGATAGCAACGACCAAGATGGCAGTACTAGATGTGCCACAAGAGGGCCTCCGGCGTAAGGCCCTCCTGCTGCTGGCAGTGCGCCTCGCGGCCTCAGCGTTTCCAGCATGTTTGGGTCCCCGAAGACAAGTGTGAGGATTCTAAAGGGCTTGCAAGCCAGGATGCTATTGGGATTGGGACTGTAGATGGTTCGTTGGCGGTGGCTACCTACCCTTTGTTTGGACCGCAGTCGCTCGAACTGCCAAGTAACCTCCTGAGAACTGAGCCTTCTCTGGCAAAGCAGAATTCCACTAAAAGTGGAATGCAATAAAATCGCAAACTGCCGAGGCAGGCTCTTTAAGGACTGGCAACTTACATACAGATAAGAACAACTTTCCATGAAGCTGCTGGAATTCAAAATGCTCAGCACATGCTCAGCTGCAGCCACATAGCCCTCGAAATAGGGCCCTAACTCAACACATACCTTGCTAATCCTTTTTACGAAGTCTGTGGGTAGTCACAATTGGGTCTGTAAACTTCCAACTTTGGGGCAGAGTATAGTGGTAACCCCTTTCCGAACTAGCCATGAACCTTAGCCTATAGTCCCCCCTAAGTAGATAGAATATGGGGTATATGGGGCCCCTCATCTACTATCCCCAATGCCATATTCTATCTACTT